TCATATTCAAATACAATGTCACTACTAAAGGAGGAAAAAAGAGTAACTATAAGGCTACATTATATATGCATACATACAACTAGATGTATGATATGTGAATGTCTACATATACAGGTTTATGAATATAAACATTTATGTAATGTAGATTGAAGATAATTGCATCAAATATACATGTGACTTAAGGGCATGGAGCAAGGAGACTGAGTATGATAAACAGTGTGAAACTCAGAAAGAATAATTAAAAGATTGGGTAGTGTGCTATTATTATTTTGTTTTTATCAACTTGACTCAATCTGAAGTCATCTGGGAAGAGGGACCCTTTATTGAGTAATTGCCTCTATCAGATTGGCCTAGAGGCATGTCTGTGGGATATTTTCTTGATTAGTGATTGATGTGGGAGGGGAGGGCCCAGTCCACTATGGGCAGTGATACCCTTGGGCTGGTGGTTCTGGGTTGAATAAGAAAATAAGATGAGCAGATCATGGTGAGCAGGCCAGCACTCCATGGTGATTGTACTTCAGTTCCTACCTCCAGGCTCTTACCCTGACTTCCCTCAATGATAAGCTGTGATGGGGTATGTGAGCCAAAGAAGCCCTTTCCTCTGCACAGTGGTTTTGCCAGTGTTTTAGTGACAGCAATAGAAAGCAAACTCAGCCAGCCAGCATCCTTTTGTTCAGAAAGAATTAAAGTGTTTTAAAAAATCAGTGTCTTACACATCTGTCATATTACCAAAGAAACATGATACCAGCTAGATTTATAAAAGAAAAGAAAGACACTTTGGAATATGGTGCAAAGACGCTTGCGCTTGCCTAGCATGTGTGAGGACCTAAGTTCAATACCTGAGAAGGTAAAAGAAAAAAAGAGCAGGGCTGGAGAAGAAAGTAAACAAACATTAATGTTAGCAGTATCATCTATTTAATCCAAGTTGCAGATCAAGGTGGTATAATCATGAATAATCCTATTGTTAATAATGACACAAAAAAGTAATTATCAATGTGTCATAATTATTCAAGTCACGAGAGCAGAAACACAAAGCCATACCTTTTAGAATGTTTTAGATTACAAATTCACAATTTTGTTATGAAATGGACTTGCTTCGCAGCTGACAGAATATGATTAATTAGCAATTCTTTTCATTATTGGCTAAATGTAATGGCAGAGATTATCTCTCTACTTTTGCCAGGAAGCCATGCTTTTCAAAAGCATACTGTTTACGGAGGCTCTTCTCTTCTCCTATCCTCTGGCACCAGACCATTTTTACTCCATTCAGTTTCCCAGGCAGTTTTGATTATGCATTTATTTATAGGGACAGTAGGTACAGTGATAGTGAGAGTATTATCTACTAAGTATATAACTGTCTTCTATCATTATCATAACTATAGTAGAGATGACAGAATATACTTGAAATTAGTAGAGGTGAATTTATCATCAAGCTAATGAAATTTCAAGGCCTGTTTACTGTCACAGGTCCCTTTAAGTGATCTTAAGCCTATATTTTTGTTTTGCTCTTGGTGATGTGGGGTCAACCTAGGGCTTCTCATACACTGAAGAATACAGTCTGAATTTCATTCCCATCCCAAGTTTGTATTTCTAAATTTGCATTATTTTTCTTCGAAGTTTCCCCAAATTTTAGGGGCTTCAGGCTTTAGAAAACTCATCTGGCCTTGCTGTATTGGATAATTTGTTTTTATGTCTTTCTCACAAGATTTTAGTTTTACATGAACCAGGGCAGTATTTGTACCCTTCCATTGCCCACCATTTCGTCAGGAAATGCCTGGTTAATGAACAAATCAGACAGATTTCAATTTGATTCTGAGGAGAGTTTCTTTTAATTAATTAATGTGTTTTATTAACATCAACTTCATCACAAAACTTCCAAAAGAAATCTTTGTTTAAATTGCCTTGTCACTTTATTTTAAAAAGTGAAAAGTATCTGCAGAATTTTAACTTTAATCTTCATTCCTGTCAATGAAAGTTTTGCAAAACCTTTTTGTTTTGTTTTTTTTCTTTAATTTTTTTTCTTGAATTAGCTCCCAAAGGAATCATGAAAAGAATATATTTAACCAACTTTGTAGATTCTACAAGTTCCCCAAGGCAAGTCCTGATAATAAAAACTGAAGTGGTCTTTGATGGCGCTTCATAAGGCTGCTGTATTTCACTTTTCTTTATTTCTCAAAGTAATTACATAATTTTGTATTCTTTTGTCACTTGACATGCATTGACAGTTTGGTGTGTTAGCTGGGCGTTAACAAGCCATATTTGATACCCAGTCTAGGAGCTGAACAATACATAACAAAGTTAACTTTGAAATGTTTCTGTTAAGGTTTACATTTAATATATTATGTGTAACTTTTCTTTCTTTCCTTTTTAATGAAGACAGTCTCACTCTGAAGCCCAGGTTGGCCTTAGAGCTCCTGGTAGAACTCTTGCACTGATGCTCCAAAGTTCAGAGAATACAAGATGAACCATCACACCTGGCACTGTGGTTTTTAAAACTACTTTTCCTTTTCAGTCCTTAAATCAGTTCCAAGGTATTTATAAAAACACCAAAACACTTCATTTGCCACTTACTGACCACAGAAATGAATAATTTAAGGACAATTTCGAAGTCATGACAAACCTCATAAATATTTTAAGTATCAAAGAAATGGACTTTTTTGTTAATCTTTCGGTTGGTTGTAAATAATGTAGTAAAATATGCTCAAGAAATTAACGTGAATTACATAAAGAATTAAAGATTTGAACAATACATTAGTAGGAAAAAATGACTTTGATGTGAGTTTCCTGATAACTCAGGTGCAATTGACTGTAAAACAGGATTCTGGAACCTGGGCATAGTTCTAGGAAGCAGCCTTGCCACTCAAATGTCACGCTATCGTATGTCTTGAGAGGTCCTTCAACATCTATTACTGCAACTTTGTCCTGCTTCCTCCTCCACTTCTTTCATGGCATCATCTAACCAAGTTTAAAGATTAATCACATAATACTAAGTTATACTTCCTCATAATATCCATCCATCCCTCACTCTTACAGTTTCCATGGGAACACTGCAGGTGTTTTATTTGAAAGGTCCTGGAGCATCAATCATCATTCTTAGTCATTTCAGTAGGGGAGGTTTGTCAACTGTCAAAATGGCTTTATGGAAACAGAAAATTTTCACCAAGTGTAGTCTCCTTTACCTTCATGGAGATACTCCTACTAACTAAGAAGAAGGTGTTCTGGGAAGTAAAGTGTCTAGATCCCAAACCAAAAAGACAGAAGAAAGTGTTTTTATTATCCATGCATTTTGGAAGACCTTATATTTTGTTTTAAATTCTAAAATGCAAGTTTGCCTCAGTCCTTTGATTCTGAAATGGTGATGTCTGACAGCATGTGGTTGATAAATCTCAAGCCCTAGCACTGTCTCAGTCTTCCAGATTAGTACCCTCATGAAATGAAAGGGTTTCTGCTTTCAGCGGCTTGCTGCCCCTTGCTGGCTGAGCAGTGGCCCCTCCTGGGAAAGTGGAGCTATTTCAGCCAGTGCTGGGGCCCACCTTCCTTTCACGCCGTGGCCAGACACTGCAGTGCTGTCCACAGAGTCGGCCTTTTCTCGGGTTCTGCGGTTTGCGTGGCACAGTGAGATTTGGATGCGGTGTTTGTTGGAAGACTATCAAGATGTCTGGACGCTACCGTTTAAGAATAAAGAATGATGCCAGAACTGTTGAGGTGTGTTTGTTAACAATTACACCCATCTTAATGGAGTTCGATTCTTAGCCCAGTGCAAATTAAAGCAGAAAAAAAAGATTTTTAAGACAATTTAAAATGAATGCTTTTGAACATTTCCCTTCCCACATATGCATGAAAAGTGGCAGCTAGAGAGCACAGAAAGCTGTTGATAGCAATGGGTCAGTTAGCATTGACTTCAGGAAGTGAAAAAGCAGGAGCCAAGTAACTCCGAAAGTGGGATAGCTGTAGAATATCTCAATCATAGCAAACGAACAGACTAAGTTAGCAAAGATGATGACAGCATCTCTACACAGAGACCATTGTGGATCAGTCATTGCTGCGGATATTCTAGTCTTTGACTTTTGTGCTTTGCAGCAGCATTCTTTCTTGATTAACTGCTCCTTAGCGTTCTCCACCAGAGGGAGGATACTGGAAAACTAGGATTCATGTGCCCTTCCAAGAAAGTCTAATCCGGGAAAAGTGGCACTAATGAACTAATGCTCTGAACTTCACCCCAGTTCTATGATGGTGGTGGACCTGGTGGTGGTGAGGAGCCGATGGGGGTTAGGACTACCATAAAGATGTTATTGACAATGGTGAACCATGGCTCATCAGCTCCTTCGGAAATTAAGTTGAATTAAGAAATAGTGTGCTTAGAAGAGGCTATTTTAAAAGCAAAATTGGAGGTGGGAAATTCAACAGCATGCTATTAAGCACAAGTAGGCACACTCTCAAGTAGCAGACGGACGAAGTGCAAGCTATTCATGCTTGAAATTCACAGAACCCTTCCTGGGTAACTGCAACTCCTTTCCACCCTAGACTTCACCTTGGCCCTCTGTGCCAGAGGGAAGTTCCCCTAAAGTGAGAAAGAAACCCTGAACCCTTCTCGGAAATAGCAACTGTTTCTCCCCATCTCGGGGGCTCCAGCTCTCTAGAGCCTTCGTTGTGGGGCAGGTGCCGCGGTTGTAAACTTTTCTCCATCTCCCTCCACTTTTCAAGGCTTGGATCAACTCTGGCTGTTGCAGCCTGCTGGCGACTGTGAGTGCCAGGGGCTCTCCCTGGCCTCTCGGGACTGTTCGCTTAAGTCCCGCGGCGAAGGCGGCACAGTCAGAGCAGCTTCCAGCGACCCCTGTCGGGTGTTCCAGGCAGCCGCTGGGCTCAGCCGCCCCCAGCCAGGCCCGGCCGCCAGAAGAAAGGAGGAGAGCCGCGATCGCCCAGCTCAGGCTCCTCCCGGTGGCGTGTCGGCGCCTCAGGGTGGGGGTGTGGTGGGGGAGAGGGAGGGGGCGAGGCGAGGGGCGGGGGCGAAGGAGGCGCCAGCTTCCAACCTGCGGGCAATTGAAAAAGAGCCGGCTAGGACTTCCCCAAAACTTGTGGGAACTCCGGGCCGCGCGGACGGCAGGAGCGGAGCAGCAGCGGTGGTGGCAGCCCGGCGATGCGGGAACCGACCGGACTGCGAGCACCTTTCCTTCTTCGGGTTGTAAGGGCGCGAGGCAGAGGCTCCTGGAGCGAGGCCACGCCGGAGCCGGTAGCGGCGGGACCCGGGACACGAGAGCAGCCCCGACTCACCTCTGACGGAGCGGCCGCTCCAGGTGACCAAGCTCACTCCGCTCCCCGCAGGCGACAGGCGACGCCCCCAAGCAGCTCGGCCGCTCGCTCTTCCCTCCGGGGACAAACTTTTCTCCAAGCCCTTGGACCAAACTTGTCGCGCGCGTCACCGTCGCCCAGTCGGTTCCGTGTACAGCGCTCATCTTCGGCGAGATGTCTGAGCGCAAAGAAGGCAGAGGCAAGGGGAAGGGCAAGAAGAAGGACCGGGGATCCCGCGGGAAGCCCGCGCCCGGAGAGGGCAACCCGAGTCCAGGTGAGTGCCTGCGGCTTCGCTACTCCCGGGCAGACGCTTCACTGCGTCTTGTGTCCCTGAGCTGCGCGCCCGGCCCTGGCGTTGGGGAACCCCGCGCTTCCCTGCGGGGGTCGCCACTACCTGGCACCCGCGCCCTGCGCGCACCGTGAGCCTGGCTGTACCTCCCCGACCCTCACGGGTCTGCTGTTCTCCCCGCTTTCGGGTGTGGTCCTCCGTCCCTGCGTCGGTCGCGGAGCCCAGCCCCGGAGTGCGGCTCCGAGTGCGGGATCCCTGCCGGCTGTGCGTGCCCTGCGGCCCGAGGGCTTTGCGCGGGCCCCGCCTGCCCTCTAGCGAGAGAAGCGGGAACGGGCTTGGGGTCCGAGAGCCTGCGCCCCACCGCGTGGGTCCGGCTGCGCGGAGGGTGGTCGGGGAAAAGGGCAGCGTGGGAGACCCGGCTTAGGCGAGGTGGGCGGAGGAAAGCCGTGTACAGCCGCGGTGCGAGCCAGGCTTCGCCCGGATTGCGTGCTGCGATAGGGAAACCCAGAGCAGCTGAGAGGGATTCCTAAAGGTCAGCGAAGCACGCAGAACCCGGCCGGGTGCCAGGATTCAGGTCGGCTCTGAATAAAATCTACGAACTCTTGCTAGGTTCTAGTTTTCAGGGTCACCCTGATAAATATGTATAGTTCAGTTTCCCAAGAGATGTCAGAAAGCAACAGTTTATCCGAATTTTAAACCCCAGTTGCTTACCGGTTATATAGAGAATGGAAAAAGGGGAGTTGAGGCTTTTTGTAAAGCGATCTTTTTAATCCACCATCAGAGCACAACATCAATGACGCGTCACCTTAGGTATTCCTGGGAAAGACTAATGGACTGAATGGCCGCTAAATAGATGCTTAAGGGGGTGTATCGAGAGAGGGGTCTTTACTCTCCATCTGTAATCCCCTATGGTCGATTTGGATGCCTGGTGTCTCTTAGAGGATCCCCAACACACATATTATGAAGTACTTCTGGGAAATTAACCACACTTGTGCAGTCTGTGCCTCAAGAAGATAGCCCAAGTATCTGCTCCGTGCAGGAAGAAAACCAATCGCATTCTCTTAGTACACTCCTTGGAATCACTCAGCATTTCAGAACCTGGGTTGTTGGCAGAGACCCTAAGCAAGGTTTAGAACAAAACAGAAACCGAACAGAGGGTAATTGTTTAGCCACTGGCCGTTCTTGTGTCTGAATAAAGGGTACTGCTCAGGAGATTCACCTTAATTACCCCGCATGAGCCTTCCTGAAGGTACACTGACGTTTCCGTAATGTTTACTGTATATTTTAGAGATTAAATATAACATTGTACTCAAAGTCTGAAAGGGGGAGCTGGATTAATGTCACCATAGTATGTTAAAGAGATCCCGACCCAACAAATACTGTAAAGGTATAAAGAACGTTTTGTTTCCCCTGCCACCACTTGTGGCGTCTGTTTGCTTCAGAAGTTTGTAAGGTCGGTTTAGATCAGCGGTTCTCAACTCGTGGGTCGCGACCCCCTTGGGGGTCAAACCACCTTTCTCTTCCCATGGCTCACATATCAGATATCTTGTGTATCAGGTATTTATATTACGATTCATAGCAGTAGCAAAATTACAGTTACGAAGTAGCAACGACATAATTTTATGGTTGGGGGTCAGCACACCCTGAGGAACTGTGTTAAAGGGTCGCAGCATTGGGAAGGTTGGGAACCAATGTCTTAAATGCTCTCATGCCTTAAGGTGGGGTGGTGGTCTGATTAGCGTTCCTTTCAGTAGCAGTTTTACCGCTTGTTAAGTCTACAACTTACCACAGATATTTTAGTGATTTAGTCCTTACTCACCAGGTGGGCAGCTGTCTCACGACTACCCAATGTTCTCTTTAAGAGAGAATGCTAGAACTTCTTTGATGACTCCCATTTGCTTTTGTAGTCCTACAGCTGTGACTCTGTCTAAACCAAGCACATTCATTAGGTGGTTCCACCCCACCTTTTTTCCCAGAAAAAAAGAAGGATGAATTTGTCATGGGGCTAGATTTTAGTATATTTGATTCGGTATGATTTATTTTTCATTTTTATTCTCATTATTTATTTATTTATTTATTTGGAGAGAGATGTTTTGCCCACTCTAGAAGAATTTTTATCTCCTTTAGGATACTGCCAACAGATTGAGCCAGATTAAGAGTATTTATTCATTTGATTTGCAAATGGTCACCTTAAATTTTTCATTATGTAGAAAAATGGGGTATTATCATTGTTTCTGTCTTTGCTTTGCCACTTTTCCTTCTAATGACAAGTGCCAGTCTCATTTTCCTCATTGAAAAGAATGAGTGGCTGATAGCCACGTGATACATGGGGAAATCCACTCTTTCTAGATCTCGGTTTTTTCTGGTTTGTAGGTCTGCAGCATCCTCAACAGTCTTCCCCCTCGCCATGCATCCATATTTAGGATTTCCAAGGACAACCATCTCTTGAATTGTTCCCATGTTGGTGGCCTTCAGTACCAAGTGTCACCCTTTCCTTAAAACAACCACTGTAACAGTATGTGTGTCCTTGGTGATGTGTATGCAGTGTGGATGTTATCCCATCAACTTTATAGCAGCTGAGATAGATAACTGAGGGCCCTCAGCCCTGCTGTGCCCGTTATCATATGCAAAGGCATAAACACATCTCTTGGTGGGAACTACTCAGGAGAAAAACACCTTTTAAGCCGGAGGTTGGTGGCACACTCCTTTAATCCCAGCACTAGGGAGGCAGAGGCAGGTGGATCTCTGTGAGTGCAAGAGCAGCTTGGTCTACAAGAGCTAGTTCCAGGACAGCCTGCAAAGCCACAGAGAAACCCTGTCTTGAAACAAAACAAAACAAAACAAAACAAAACAAAACCTACCTTTTAACCTGCTAAATGACAGGTCCAGTTAATGTGTCTTATGTACCTGGCAATCAGTGTTTCCTATCATCAATACAGCTAACAAATACCAAATTGCGCACTATTGGGGCTGCAGATGTTCAACCAAATTATTTATTGTGTAATAATGGCTATCATATATCCAACACCCTTGAGGCCATTGATTCTTCTTCTTCCCATAAAAACAAGCAACCTCAGCAAAACCCTGGGCTTTGTGTCACAGGCCCATGTATCAAGGGTCCTATAATGTCCCTCGCCTCCTGCAAGCTGGACCTCCCAGATCCTGACTCCGACTGAGTCATTCAGCTTAGTATTTTCCTTCAGAAGCCTAAATTACAAAACCAGTTTTTCTTTTTATTCTGTCACTTTGCCATTTGACTTCAGACCTTCCTTAAGATTGATGGTATTTTTCTTATTCTGTACAGTATTCTTTTTGTTATTGTTTTGCTCCTTAAATGACCTGGTACGATTCTGCTATCACACCTAGTTCAGATCTACACCTATTATGTGCTGTTTCATGCCTGGTGGACCTGGTGTTTGTGAGTGGAAAACTGAAGAAACATATCCCAAATAGTTTGGCGAAGGCTGTACGTGCCACCAATGACATCACCCACCTGTTTCCTTAACTAAATGGCTCCCAAGGCTGAAGGGCCTGTAAACATTCTTGGAAATAAAGTACCCTGTCACTAACAGGGCAGTCTGTGTTTACAGAACAAGGTGGAATGTCCAGTGATCTGTTTCAACCTGGTTACTTGTAACTGCTTACATTATGTAATTATTAAAAACATTAAAGGTTATTTACAGAATAAAACAGAACTTGTTATGAGGAACTAAAATAGCAGGGACAGTGAGGGAAGCTTGAATACTATTTTTCATAGATACAAAGTGATGACATGGTACTAATGAAGATAATATTGATTCTATTAATATTAGAAGAAGGTACTAAGGAGACTATATATGTATATGTAATATAACAAAGTATTGGACCATTGTGTGAACAGTAAATACATTTCCAATATCCTCCTCAATCTTTTTGTATTCAGCATAATGGAGATTACTATTAATTAGTATTCCAGGAAATGTAGCACATGCATTGTATATTATATTATTTTAAAAACAGAAAATATGAAAGTGTCTGAATGTTAGGCAGCATGTCCTAGCCCTTAGTTCTCCAGGCAGATTGCCTGGATTTAAACCAAACACCCTTTAGCTGTAAATTCATGGGAAAGTTACTCTTTCTGTGCCTAAGTTTCCTTTTGTTGTAAAGTTGAGATAATTTCTGACTCTCTGGAGTGTGAACAAGATAACTCAGGAAAGCTTGCTGACTATTGGCTAACAGAGAATCTGTACCCAGCAAATACAAGCTTTCTTTATCAGATGACTCAAGGAAGGAATTGCCTGTAAGGATATGTGACATAATTTTCAGAATTTACCTTTTATGGGAAGGAAAACCCAGTGCTGACTGACCTTACATTAGTGTGGGCATAAATATTAATATGGACTACCTGTAAAGATAGAGAAAAGTGAGTCCATCAAGTTTCATAGCTGCATATACATATTATGAAAACACTGTTGAGCTCAATCTAAATATTGAAAGTAGAGTGAGGTGCAATAGGGTTTTATCTGGCAGGAAAATGTGAAGGTTTCGAGCTTCAAGATTTTGAAACCCGATTCCTTTTCTGGCAACGTTGTAAGAGTTGCTGTTTAAATCTCCTTTGAAATCTCCTTTTGTAATTCAGAATATGTGGTCTTCTCTCTTGGGACTTGTGTAAATTGCACACACACACACAAAGTATGCATCAACATGTCCTTTACTATCTTTTTTTTTTTTTAAATCAGGGGTCATAGTATAATGCCAGAAAAGTTCATAGACTCTGCTGCAGGTATTTTGAAAGAGAGGCAAAACAAGGAATACAATAAATCCACATTTCTCCATATGTTCCTTTCCCTTCCTCGTAACTGGAATGACTATATGTCATGTTTAAGGTTCTTGGGGATATAATGGATTCTTGCAAGATCAGAGTTCTATTATTTTTACCAAAGTATAAATTTTAATTTAACAGTACTGATTGTTTATTGGGTTCTATCAAGAAATCACACCAAGTA